GTTTTCAGAAATGGGTTTGTTGTAAATCTAAGGAGGAGGCGCAACTTCTAGGGTTCTTTTTAAAAGAGATGATAAATAGTGCATTTTATATATCAGTGTGCGACACATGGCAAGGCTTGTGATGATTTTGTTGATTCTGATTAATAATGATGTTGTTAATTAATGGAAAATGCTGATGATTAAATGTACCGTTAATAATAAATGATGATAATTAAAAACTGATTAATAAAAAAAATTAATTCTAATAACCTATACAACTAATTAACTCATAATCTAATCATTTAATTAATCTAAACTACAAAATCTGACTATTAATAATAAAAACAAATTAATTCTATTAATTCTAACAAATAAAATTCTATACTATTTCTAAAAAGAGCTAATTCTAAAAAATCCTAAAATCCTAAATCTATTTCTACCTATTTCTAAAACCAATCCAAAATCCTATTAAAATCTAATTCAACAATTCTAACGAAAATTTAAACTAATGATCTGTTCAAAATAAAACTATTAAAAAATCTAATAACTATTTTCTATAAAAGAAAACCAATTAAATTTCTATTTAAAAAGTCTATTTAAATCTTAAATTCTATTCTAAACTATTTTTATAAAAAAAATAATTAAAGTTCTATTAAAGAAAACCACCTTCTAAAAACAAAACTTCTAATAATTCTATAAAAAAATTTAATTTATTTTAAAAGAAATGAACTATTTACAACTAATATATTATATCCTAGAACCATATGAATAAATAAAAAAGTTAATTATAGAAAATCTATTAATAAAATCTATTCTATTAAAATAAAATTCTAATTATAAAATCTAATTTCTATTAACAAACAAAAATGTACAAAATAATATCATTTTGCAAAAAAAAGAGAAATTAAAAAAAAATATTTACAAAAGTATCCTCTGACCACGTGTCACGTTCCTATTGGGTAAAATAACAGAGATCTAAAAAACGCCTAATCACGGGTGAACACGTGTCCAAATGGCATGAAATCAAACAGGTAATGCAAAACTAAAAATAAAATCGGAATGCGAATGTTCGAAAAAAAGGGAGGACAGATTTAGGGTATGACACCTATAATTGCGTCTCTGCCCGTAGCAACGACTAGTTATAGACACCTCTACCCATTCCAACGGCTAGTTTTGGCAGTTACTTATTCTTCAGAAAACAATTATCTCGCATCAAAAATAAGGACCAATGGCCAAGCGCTGGGGGCACTATAGAAAACCCTCTCATTTGAGAGGGTCAGGTATTTAATATTCACCCTGACACACACATATTCTGTACTTGCCTTCTTTCTCCCGATTCTTACTTTAGCATCAGAGTGCCTTGCAGGTACACCCCCTCCTCCTCTCTCACACCCAGCATCACAGGCGATTGTCTCTGCCCCACTTCAGGTTTTGATCAGTCGTCAAGATCAGAATTGGTTTGTACGTTGTTCGAATTTTTCGATATTGCAGCCAATTTTCTCGATTTGTGTGTTTTAGGCATTTCATATTTGGTTCATGGATCCATTTGCCAATGGGTTGTGTTTTGGATTTTGTTTGTTGGATTTTGACAATCATAAATATGTATCTATTCTCTTATTACAATGTGATAATTTTAGTGTTTAATAGCAAAAAGGAGAAATAAAGGTTTAGGGAATTCCAAGGGAAAACTTAGAAACACAATGGTTTTGGAGGAAACCTTTGGAGTTATCTAAGGGGGTTGAGAAATACTCCTAAAACATTGGGTTTGTGTGATTCTTATATTGATAATTAGAGAGTTTGTGAAACACTTAGGTAAACAAATAGGTTTTTGTCCTTAGGAACTTTGAAGGCTATTTTCTTATAACTTAATTATAATCTTTTGTAACAACTTTTCGAGTATAGCGAATTAGAAAATTGTTCTCTCTCCCATACGTATATTATTTGATCGAACTGGATAAACAAATCTCTTGTGTTTCTTTCTTTATTTTATTTTCTTCTATTTAATTTACTATTTATTAGTTATTATTGTTGAATACCATTTATTCTGGTTGCTACTGTTCTTTGTCCCCACTCATCAAATTTCTCGATGTGAATTAAACCTTATCATTTTCACAATAAGTGGCGCCCATCGTGGGACAAAGGGGTATTATTTACAAGTGAGCACCATAGGTAAATGGGAGATCGATATTTTTTCTGAAAATAACGACTTTAAATTGTGGAATGTAAAGATGGAAGCAATTTTAATTCAAGAAAATTGTATTGAAGCTTTGAAGAGATAGAAATTAATGACTGCAAGACTTACATCATTAGAAGAATGAGATGGTGGATAAGGGCATGAGCGACATTATCTTGTGCCTCAAGGATAAAGTTCTAAGAGAAGTCGTCGCGTAGCAAACTACGGTTGTGATGTGGACAAAGTCTTTGGCTCACAGGTTATGCCTGAAATAGCAACTTTTTTTCATTTTGAATGGTGGAGAGCGAATCCATAGTGGAGCAATTAACAAAATTTCACAAGATTATTGATGATCTAGAGAATATTGAGGTGAAAATTCATGATGAGGACAAGGTTTTATTCTTGGTAAGCTCATTACCCACATATTCTTTGAGCACTTTAAAGATGCATTTCTTTATGGTAAGAAAGACATTATTACTTTGGATGATGTCTAGATGGCGGTGAAATCCAAAGAATTTTCTAAGTTGGAAGATTTGAAAACTGATGATAGTGGTGAAGATTTTAGTATCTCAAGAGAAGGAAATGAGCACAAAGGGATGTCCAAATCAAAGAGGTTTGACAAGTCAAAGGAAATATGTTATAATTGTTAGAAAGTTGGTCACTTCAAGAAGGATTATTCTGAGAGAAAGGTCAATGATGATTGTGTTTAAGTTGTGGTTGCCTTAGATGAGGATGGTTTTGAGAATGATGATGCATGAGTGATATCGAGTTTGAAGATTGAAGATAAGGGGGTAATAGACTCGGGTTGCTCTTATCACATGTATTTGAGAATATAATACTTTGATACTTTGAAGTTAGATAAAGGTGAAGTAGTTTACCTTGGTGATAATAAGACTTACAAGGTTCATGGTATTGGCACAGTCAAATTTAAAATGTTCGATGATCGTGAGTTTCTTCGTCACAATGTGAGATATGTTCCAAAACTCAAACAAATTTTTTTGTCCATAACATGGATGAAGGTGGTCTGTAACTATGATTCAATTTTTTGTAAGGTTTTTGAAAATGATAAGGTTAGTGTTTTTTTTAGTGTTGTTGAGTGCTAGATGTTTGGTATATTGTTTGAAAGAGAAATTGATTTCCAGTATTTGAAAAATGATAAGTTTTTGTGCAAAATTTATTTTGATTTGATTTCCAGTATTGTATTTAATCTATTTAGATTTGTTTTGTTGTTACTATATCCAATTTAGTAATCATGTTAGCTATGAATTGAAAGTGGAGCAGAAGAAGAAAGGGTTTATAAATTCAACCTGAAAACTTATGAAGATGATATTAAAAATCTTGAAAATCTCTTTTAGTAACTGATTTTTCGTCGCTAAATTGTTATACAAGTTTAATGCAACATGTCACTTACCTCATCAGTGAACATTAACGTTGTTATTGTCATTTGAACGGAAAGGACTAATGTGATCCAATTTGAAGGGGTAGAGGACTCAAATAGTTTTTTTTTAAATAAAAATTAAGGGATTAAAATGAACTTGTACAAGATACAAGAAGAAAAAATATATTTTTTCATCTTGTTTTTACACTTTAGATTGAACAAAAATGATTATGATCTAAGATGATGTAATCACTAGATGTGTTCCTTAGAGTCATGCAACCCAAAGTAAACTCGAGCCAAAGTTTTAATTTGGTCCTCCAAAAAGGGGGTTTGGTGTTTGACTTTCAGAAATGATTTTGCCTTCTTTTGGAGCGTTTAATGATTTTGCAATGTCTCATGCTTCAATAAACTTTAATCCCTAACAGAAATGCGGTGATTTCCTTGAGAATAGACTCAATAAACAACCAAAATTCCTTCCAACATTTAAAAGGAGGATTCTCCTTGAGATTAAATCCATTTGAAGCATATAGTGATGGTTATTATGCAATGTCAATTTGTGGATAAGAGATCAACTATTGTATTTTTTGGTTTGGAATCTTATAGCTTGTGAGAGTAAACAAAAGAGAAAGTGATATTCATATCTAATACTAAAGAAGAGTTAATGACACAAAGGATATGTGAACTAGTATAGTTGAAAATAATTTTAGAGTGATAGATCAATAAATCTTCTATTAACATAGTTCATAATTTATCGGAGCATAATAAAAACAAAAACATTAAAATTGACTGACACGAGTACTTTTTTGTTACTCTATATGTCTCTTGTCAAGATATCTTATAACTAAATGGTTAAACAACAATAACTTTAATAGAATTAATTTCAAATCAGAAACAATAGATGTTTATTCACCAATGAGAAAGAAATTTGTAATTTACTATTAATATTTTTACTTTTTAATAGCCAATTCCATTAAGTTAGAATAATTTATGATACTAATATTTGTATTTTATTCATACCAAAATATAATATTTAATTTTTACGTATATTATTACAAAATTTAATATACAACATTTCTGCAATGACCTAAATCAATTATATATGTAATAAGTTTGATATATTTGATTTAAATTAAATAGTGCATTCTATAAATATTTGAATAACATGTTTTTTATGTTATTCTCTTCTTTTTAAGTATTTGTTCTTTGAAAAATATATTATTTTTAAAGTCATTTTCAAAATAGTGTTAATTAAAATTTTGTTAAAATGAATTTCACTTTAGTGAAGCCGCTTGCAAAACTAAAACTAGAAAGTCAATGATGGAACATGCGGTGTGACTATATATTTCGAACTCAATGATGGAACATGCGGTGTCCTTTATTTTCTCATTCAACGGTAGTCAACAATTTGTTTATTTTTGGCTAGACTTGACATCAATTCTTGTGGTATAAAACATTTTTACCAGCAATGCCTCATTCCTTTTCAGTAATCACCACAAAAACATCTTTCAGCGACCACTTCCGTCTCTCACTCTTTGCCGCGGGGTTAATAACAGCCCTTTCTGCGTTTGCTAAACGGTATCCAATCACAATCTCTCTCCTTTGCCGAGCTCGTAACATTATTTCATAGAAACTCAATTTCTCACTTTCGCGCAGGTAAAGATCTGCTTGTCGTATATGCATTTCATTTCCCTGACAATAACAAAGAACAAAACTCATCAGTATCAACCATGAAATGAAACTTTAATGCTCCTGCAGGATAGATATATTGAAACTGCAAGGGATGCAATTTTATCAGTTTGAAATGTAAGATAGGACAGAGCGCTTTTCAGGACGATAGATGTGATGCATGCAATAGCAAAACATGGGATGCCCGTCCCTTCTGTTTATCTAAAAGAGAAGAGTAGTACCTGCTCCGCAAAGAGCTCCTCCAATACGTCATTTATCTGCCGATCTTCTGAAACCATCGCCAAAGCCATGCTGACAAGTTCATTTGATAAAACATAATCACTAATTTTTGACATAGACAAAAGGTTTTTTGTCCTAGGATCCAAAATTTCACTAATTATAACTGTTTTATCGGAAGCCTGCTTCATTTCACCAATCCATGAGCCTTTTGAAAAGCTTCCTCCATGAGCTTGACTGACCATTGCTACATAAGGAAGACGCCTAGCCTGAAATCAAACATCAAAGCTTCTGAAACAGTATAACACTATAACATGAAAAAAATCAATTATACAACTAAGAAACTTTTGTTCATTCCTAATTGATATCAGATATGTTATGTGCATGATCTACCGCTAAAGACTATGTTTGTGGGGTACAGAAAAATGGTCCGTCATATCAAATCAAAGCTCAAATTTTGTAGATTGAAAACTCACTTGTATGTCACGAATTAAAAGTAGAGTGGCAAGAGATCTAGAGTCAGCTTGAATGGCTGAATCCTCGACTGATTCATCTGCCAAAATCAATATCTGCAAAAAGCAAAATTTCCATCATCATCAACTTGCAAACAGTATAATTGCTACAGACAAGTCCCAAATATTTCACCATATCATAATTTAACTGTAAGTCTAGCCCCAATTTGCCACCAAATAGTCAGTATAATTATATTATTGCTGACAAAACACTACAGTAAATAATATAGCAGAAGGCATAGGTGGTTCCATTACATTATGTATGATGAAGAATGGAAATCTAGTAATACACGTAAAGAGGAAAAGCTGATAAAGGTCACTTACTGAATCAAATGATTCCAACGGAAGGCTTTCCAAGTGACGACGTATAACGGCATTCCCCTCACGATTAACTAGTGTAATGTTTTCCAACCGATTTATATCAAGGCCACCATCAGTTAACTTCTTTTCCCTCTCCTTTTCTAGAACATCATTGAACATCCAGAGCTCTGACCCATGCGCTAGAGATGCGTCCAAAACCTAAAGGAAAAGATATACATGCCAAAAAAAGGTATTAATGTCCACAGAACAAATAAATTGTTGTGGGGACGAAAGAAGGAGGGAGGACTAGATTCTGCCACGGCTCCACCAAACTAAGATCTTGCTGAATATGCATATGCACAACTTTTTATCTAAAAATTTACATATTACCTCAACAAAAGATAACTTATGACTCAATATTTCATTCAATCATTTGTTTAAATGTAAAAAATTTCATGTAACCTCTTAATGTGCTTAAGAATTCGTACAACTGCATTCCAAGTACTGTCACGAGGACAGTTAGGGAACTGACTTACTAGACTTATTAAAAAATATGCCAGGTTCGATTAGCGTGATATAATTTAATTTTCTTACTGCTCTTGGATATCTACATGGATCAGGAAAGGGCTTCCCCTGACCAGGGAGGAGTTTGGAGGATTTATTTTTATGCATAAAAAAAATCTCCCAAATATGGGGGAACTAAAAAATTATATTGAAGGAGGAGTTTGGAGGATTTTTGAGGGCTTAGGCAAATTGTTCAAATATAATTAATGTTGTTACAGAATTCTAAAAAAAAAAAATTTAATGATAAGACTCTTTTATCATTTTATGCAAAAAAAAAAAATTCAAAAAATGTTGAAGATTTCTATATATTTTTTTTAAGAAATCGTTTTTTGAAGGCCTCCCTTACAAACTCCCAAACAAAGCCTTAGAATCTAAAGTTAACATCTCATCAATCATGTAATATCTTCACCTTAAAGTGTCTTAGGAATAAAGACAAACGAAAGCATAGTAGGAAGGAGACAATCGATCATAATTCAAAAAGTTATAAATATGACGGGGATTAGAAGTAAACCATTTATTTTACAAAGAGTAATGGGTAAGTCGGCAAAAGAATCATGTGGGACCACAAGAGAAGGAATTGGAACAAGAGTTGAATCACTTGAATCAGTGGCGACTGGCGACATTCTCTAAAAGTGAATCACTGGAATTAGTAGTATCGTCGGTCTTTGGAGCTTCAACACGTCGACGCTCATAAATCATGCAATGCAAGGTCACCTTGTGACGATGGAGAGCTCTGAGTAAAGACAATCATTTCAAAGAGAGAAATAGGTAGTAGCACCTAGGATGTAGTAACATCAATTTTAAAATCTAATGTAGTTGGTGATGCAAAGAATAATATATCCTCAAAGAAAATAACATATGTTGAAACATAAAAAGAGTGTTGATGGAGAATAATACTTAAGTCCCTTTGGGACTATGGAATGCCCTAAAGACACACACTTAACAGTCCGGGCAGATAAATTACCACAGCCAGAAGAACTATCTAAACAAAACATATAGAGTTCTAACACACAAAGAGGCACAACGTGCTAGGGATACAAGAGTGTGGTAACAAGAAATTGCAGGAGGAATGATCGATTAGACAGAAGTAGAAGAACGAATCAGAAAACTAAAATTGAAGAAGAAATAGATCTGAATAGACACGAACGAGATGCAATGATAAAAAAAATGTTCGCAAGAAAATCACACCAAGAAAAATGTGGAAGATTGGAACTGGAAAGGAGAAATTTGATTTACTCTTAAATGGAAATTAAACTAGAAAAAGGGGAAATTGAAATAACCAAGAATAGAATTTTCTTAAGAAAATACAGCAGAATATTCTTCAAGGTGGATACCAAGATTCCACATTCAGATATAGGCAATCAGTAGAATTGGCAAAATGGGCAAGAAAGGCCATAGTGGAAGCTTGTTGGGCAACCTTCGAATTGCGAACTAGTACTAACCTTGAACAGTGTTGCAGCAGAAAGGCAACCGGGAAAAAAAATCAACCATCGGTTATCAAGAAACAGAAAATCAGGTCCAAGTTGTCAACAAAAAAAAAGTGCGACTGGTGGTATGGTAAAACAGTGGTCAGAGGGTTTCATGTGGGCCCTACGTTCTGCCATAGGAAAACAAGTGCAGTGTGTTGCATGAGACGGCCTCTGGTGACAATCTTCAAACAATCAGCTGGCTGACAGCCTCTGGACCAGATTATGGTTCCTCCTTCGAAAACAGATACCAAAACTAAAGCTAAGGCTAGTCCATTTGGCAGCGCTGAGCCCACAAGACTATTTATTAAAAGTCTCACATTGGACAATATGTGGTCTGAACATATGTTTGTAAATGGGGACAATCCTCACCTTACAAACCAGTTTTGTAAAGTTGAGTTAGATCAAACTCTAATAATAAGATGGTATCAGAGCACAGTTCAAGATCCGTTGAGCCATCTGCTATCTGACCACCTACCATTTATATTCCCGCACCAAGTCCAATAGTGTTAGGCTCGAGGGAGTGTGTTAAAAGTCCCAGATCGGACAATATATGGCCTGAACATATGTTTATAAGTGGGGACAATCCTCACTTTATAAGTTGGTCTGTAGGGATGAATCAAGCAAAACCCAAATTCTAAGAACTATGATATTTCTCATTTAAATAACATGGATTATACAAGCATTTATTTATATTATATACATGAGAGTCATAAACTAACAGATTTGCGATCCTCTCATGGTCTTATAAATTTGGGATCAAATCAAATATCCCTTAACTAAGGTAACTAGGAAAGCTAAAGATAAGGCAAGAATAATAATAAATCTAGTTACAAGCACAATAATAATAAATATAGTTACAAGCAGTGACATTTAAAAATAAAAGAAAAGCCAGAGACAATAGCAGGAGATTTCTAATAGCATTACCATGATCATGTCCTCCATATCACGCCTCCAACCGCAAAGAAGTATTCTCTCTGGAGACTTTGGATAAACAAAATCCTTGGGTAAGCTTCCCCTCCATACCTGAAACCAACAGGGAAAGGGGGAAAGGAACAATATCATTCAATCTGCCTCCTCCATCCTCATTAAAACTGATTGATTTCTTTGGCTTTACAACTATTTCCGTATGTAAAAGTAATCACTACCAACTGATATAGAAAAGGAAATAGGGAAAATCTCTTTGAATTACAAAGTAAATCGCAGAACTTCGAAGGTCTGCACCTACCCTAATGCCAAAATGGCACATTTCCAATTTGTTGGACTTTCCGCCTTAATTGCGGTCCACCCTTAGTCGCCTTAATTGCGGTTCTTTGGCTTGCCTCATTGCAGCCCCTAACACCTTCATTGCGTTAGGGAAAATAGGGAAAATCTCTTTGAATTACAAAGTAAATCGCAGAACTTCGAAGGTCTGCACCTACCCTAATGCCAAAATGGCACATTTCCAATCTGTTGGACTTTCCGCCTTAATTGCGGTCCACCCTTAGTCGCCTTAATTGCGGCTCTTTGGCTTGCCTCATTGCAGCCCCTAACACCTTCATTGTGTTAGCTTTGAAGGGGTGGATTTAGTCTCACATTGCTTAGAGGTATGGTCTGTGTTGTAACACCTTCATTGTGTTAGCTTTGAAGGGGTGGATTTAGTCCCACATTGCTTAGAGGTATGGCCCGTGTTGTATTTATAAGTGGGGGCAATCCTCACCTTACAAGCCGGTTTTGTAGGGATGAGTTAGGTCCAACCACACATTTTGAGATGGTATCAAAGCTTATCCTAGATCTATTGTTGGGCTTCCCGCATCGTCCACGCTTTGAGGCCCAAGCGTGAGGGGGTGTGCTGGACTTTCTGCCTTAATTGCGGCTCTTTGGCTTGCTTATTGTCAGCCCCTAACACCTTCATTGTGTTAGCTTTGAAGGGGTGGATTTAGTCCCACATTACTTAGAGGTATGGCCTGTGTTATATTTATAAGTGGAGGCAATCCTCACCTTACAAGCCGGTTTTGTAGGGATGAGTTAGGTCCAACCACACATTATGAGACAATCAAATTCCAAGATAATAAACCTCCTAAGTAAAACGTAGTTGTTCCTATTAATCTAATAATTTCCCACTAACCACTTCTAATAATATAATAATTGCCACTTAAAAACATAATTGTTAAGTCATTAGTTTTCCTCAATGCAAGGTCAAACACTTACCAAGAGGAAGTGGAAACAGAAAAGCACCTAAATATGCCAAAGAACAAGTACCTGTCACACTAATCACTTTTTTAGATACGAAGGAAGCAAACCCCAAAAGTTGTAATGCAGAAACAACGGTGGCAGAGAGCCAGAGAAAAAACAGAAACAGCAAGCTTCAAATCGGAAATTCTTTTTTCTCTGATGAACAATATCGACGATATGAACAGTACCATGCAATGAACAGGACACGCAGATGAACAGTGCCCATTGGAAAAGAAAACTCAGCAGTAGAGAAGAGGTGGTGATGTTGTGAACAAAGGTATAAATGCTGCACGAAGGAAGCAAATGACCACAATGAGGGTGGCTAAGGTTTAGGGTAACAATGGTGGCTAGGGTTTATACCGAAGCAGGCTCAAAATTGGGAGGTCATGACACCATGAAGACAAAAATTCTGATATATTTCAAGTCTTCAATAAAGTACATGCACTAATATGTTTAAATAGGCTATTTTAAACCTAATAGGCCTGGTCAACAGAGCAAATACAATTACTACTTAATAATGACGAATGTACAACTACATCCAATGAAAGAATTTAATAGAGATTGTTACAAACAACCAAAACAAAATTGAAGAAAAAACAAAATAAGACAAACAATGACTAATCTGTTATTACTGAGCAAAATCTAAATGGAAAATGAGAGAATTGTGCTGAAGAATTTCACCTTTCACATAAACTTTCTAATCTCCTGAATGAATCCTTTCTACTATTTTTTCTATTTATCTTTAGGAAAATGGACACAAGTTAATGAACTATATATATTCTCTTAAAAGTTGTGCATTCAATTTCTTAGAAGTTAATAAATTGTTTTTTCAATACAAATTTCTACTTGTGGATTATTTAACATGTGCCCTTAAGAAACAAGTTAGCATGACCCTTTATCTTACTGGGTATCCCCTAAGCAACTACCATAACTAATCCTAATTACTTTAACTCTCATTTATTCTACTCTTCTATCCTAATACAACCTCTTTCAAATGCAACCTTGCCTAGACGGTTGAAACCAGAAAACTTATAGCCCATAGCTTCTCACACATTGACCCCTTCTTCATCACATTGTGTATCTTCTACTGAAATACTTCTTCTGAATTTTGCCGTGATTTGTCCCACTTTGGCTCCCTACTAGTGCTACCTAGTCTGAATTTTTGGACTAGGCCAGAACTACCTTGGGTGGGCCAACAAGGTTTGGACTTAAATCAGACTAGGATATCCAATACATAAGTAGGTCCAAAAATTCTCATATGAGTGACAAAGTCCCCGTCCAAATGCTTCCAGAAACTCAAAAAAGGGACTTCAAATTGGGAATCAATTGAAGTCCTAAGTGAACTTTTTTTTTAAAAGACAAATGTTTCAAAGTTGGCGGTTATGTTAGTCTGTGGAAACATTGGACCTCCTTAAAATTTTGTTGATGCCCCTTAGCTAGCACCGAGCTACACTTGAGCCAATGGGAAGATTGAGAGATCTTCGATTGTAACTATTTTCTCATCTCTAGACCCAACACTTGTATGATCTCTCCCATCCTTTCAATACTCCTTTTGATGTCAGTGGGTGGTGCCTACTCATTCCTTCGCTACAATTGAGTTTGTGCATCCTCGTTAATTGCTACAACATCTTCTTAAGCTCTTCAATATTGTCAACACTCTTCTTCGCCTTGGACATGTAGCACGTGAGGACAAGTAAGACACGTTTTCAACTTTGTCATCATCACCTGCAATAATTATGTCATTCACATAGACTAGAAGAAACAGTTTTCTTTCCTTAGAATGCTTTATATAGAATGGATAGTCATCTTTAATCATAGTCTGAATGAACTTCCAATACCATGCACAAGGAAATTTCTTGAGCCCATATAAGGTCTTCCTTAATCTGCATAACCTGTCTATTTAGTAGTGTCCTTGATGTCAAAATGTGAAGTATCCACTTTCCTTCGATACACAACCAAGTAGCATCTTAACTTCAATAATGCTAGATTCCCACAAACAACATTGTAAGCCATGATCATTGATCACCTTAAAGAACACTCTTGAATCCATTTCTACACCTATAAAGATTTGGATAGCCACACCATTTGTTACACGTCCACAAATCAGAGTTGAAGAGTATAACGAAAGATAATAACAAGCAATTTCTTCTGAATGAAATCTAAACATAAAAGGGGAAAGAGTTTTCTCCCAACAGTTTCTCCTTCACAAAGGATTTCCCCTTTCACACAAACTATTTAACTTTCTGAATTAATCCTTTCTACCTTTATCCCTATTTATCTAATTCACTCTCATCTAACTACCTAGAAAATCCTAACTATTTCAGTCCCTTTTTTCTATGCTTTTATCCCAACAGATCAATAGGTACTTGTTGCATACCAAATTAGCTTAAGTAAACTTCATTTTGGATCAGCAGAGCAACATCAAGTTATGTGACAAGCACCGTGTGAAAGGATGTCGGGGGCATAGGCATCATCGTCTTCTGCAATCACCTAAATTCTAAACCATAAACCCTCTAAGTAAACTTCATTTTGGATTAGCATTTGTCATGAACAAATAATGGTATGAGAAAAAACAGAACAGCATCAATTTATGTGACAAACACCGTAGGAAAGGATGTCGGGGCATAGGTATCATCGTCTTCTGCAATCACCAGAACTTCATCTCCTTCTTGCATAACATAGGTGTCATCTGGGTTCAAAATGATTTTACCACCATATGATGCAACTTTGATTCCACATGGAATTGCAGCAGGAAAGCTGATTAATACATCTTCAAACTGCATGCCATCCAACTGCGACCATCTTTTGATGTAGAATTCACAATTTTCAAAACCAAGTATATCTTCCCAAATCTGCCAAAGAAGGTGTCAGTTTTTTATTATAAGGAAAAGAAAGATTACACAAGAGGAGGAGGTAAATATATCATTTGAAATGTTATATGATCGTGTATCATGTTATTTTTATCTTTTTTTTTAATCTCAAGTATATACAAAAATTTGAAAGTTATGTGATCGTGTATGTTATTCATTCATTTTTTAGAAAATATCAAATATATACCAAAATATAGACTTATATCCCTACAAAGCTCTTCCCACTAAAATCCTCCAAAACCCTCCATCCAAACATACCGTAAAGAGACCAAGGCAAAACGCTAACAAGACAACCCTATACATTATCCAAGCAAATTGTCAACCATGATGTAGTTGCCCTGTCTTGCTATTAATTATTAACTTGAAAAAGTAGTCAAGTACTTTACTAACATCATGAAATGTGCAGCTAAATGTATATCAAAAAGAGATGATAGATTTCGACCTGTGCAAGTCCAGGCTGCCGAGCACATTGAATCATCAAGCGACCAATGACATCATGAGCTACAACAGTTTCAACAAGATCACCGCCCACAAGTTTAACAAGGACCTCATTGTCCAGATCACTAAGTTCAACCACTATGTGCCCTCGTAATCCTTCTTTGACTCCAGTCAGACTTAAGACTGTTCTCAGAGCTCGGGCATCACTCTATACCAAACAAAAAATACAAGTTAATGGCGATGCACCCAGGTTATGTTAAACTTGGAGCACATCATCACTCAACCAGACCTGATCAGCATTCCCATCTTCAGCAAGGACAATTATTGAGCGTGCCTTTGACACAGAAACCTGTATATCACATAGTGTAAGGAAACAAATTAACAGGCTTAAAAAGATTACTGATGAAATAGAAATGAAGAAACATCCTTCATCAGAAGGGGACAGTAATGTCATAATGATACTGTAACACACACCGAAAAAGTAATACATCATTGAGAGAATTGTTTGTTCAAGTAATTTAGCAAGGTGATGTCCATGTTTTGACACAGCATTTCAGGTCAGAATGATTTCTGAACAGATTGCACAGCAGAGAAAACTCTTATTCATTATTTTTTTTTCAAAACTACAATTTGCGTGAATTTTCACATCAGCAACAGAACAATTTGGCATCCGACCGCTAGCCAGTTTAATTAGTTCAGTTTTGGCAACTCCAATCATTTTAAAATATTGTGCTGGCATACTAGTTCAGCTAGTCATTGGGGCTCTAAAAGCAAATAAACAAAACAACAAATAAGTCATCATAAAAGGACCGTGGGGGGAAATAATGAGCATTGTTGTTACATCTTTACTCCCTTGTTTTCAATTCATTAATAGCTCAAGGATCTACTAAACTTTTACCCAACAATAAAGCATGTCTAGTCATTTCAAACGTAATAGAATAAACCAAACAGACTCTCTTAAACAATTGTGGAATGTTCCTCCTCCTTGCAATTCCTTGCGGACCCCGACAAAATGGGGAAATATATATCCATACATGCAATTATGAACTTCTCATGAAACTCCTTTAATATATAGGTTAACAGTAGATTTTTCATATTATATTATAGCAGCATACACCTAAACATGATTCCAATGAAAAGGTTAATGCAGATCCTGCACCTTTCTCAGGTCAGCCAAAATCAAGGGGCTGCCACTTCTGCATATGACAGATGTTCCTTTGAAGTCAAACTCCATTTTTGCAATGTCAAGCTCCATTTCTTCCTTGTCTCGCTCAGCCATCACTGCAACGGTTCCTCCACCCAGACTCTCATTGGCTATGGAAAGTTGATTTAGCAATGAACCCTGCACATGCAATCACATCATTAGTGGCTGAAAATTTGACGGGGATGGCTACAAGAAGATAAGCAATAAATGACGGTGTGATGTGATGACACCAGAATCATACCAATTTATCACTCCAACCAAGAATCAAAGTATGATTTTGCTCAACCACTTCACTTTTTCCTTTCCTCAGTGAATCAAACTTCTCAGAAATTCCATCCGACACAAGGCCAAGCATCATTGCAAATATAAGCATCCCTCCAAAGCTAATAGAAACAGCAACTAACCTTGGACCAATTCCTTGGGAGTTGGCGTGATTGCCAGAGTCAGCAACATAAGTCCAAGACAACCAGAGGCAATGCACTAAATCATCAGAAGTTACACCAAAAAGGGCCAACCCTCCAATAAAGATTAGTAGAAGTGTTGCAAATAACAAGACAAGGGGTTTAGCATATGGGTAAACTGATAAAAAGACATCAACCCGGTAGGCAATTTGCTTGTTGAGAGAAACTTGTTCTGATATGTTGTCGGCACATCTTGATTTGGACACATAGTCAACGTACTTAAAAATGAAAAGAGGGACAAGTAAAAGTGTGAAGGAGAAAGTGAGAGAAAGGTTTCTGGTGAAGTATTCAGGCGAAGGAGGTTGGGTAGTGAAGCTAGTAACGTTGAAGGTGTCCAAGTTATGGCAGGTGTGTAATCTGAGATTGAGTTGGAGAATTTCAGCCTTGAAAGAAAGAAAAAATAGAGGTTAAGTGGTTTATAGGATGAAGGTTGAATTGGAGTTAAAGGAATTTAGTTACCTGCAAGTTATTTAGTCGGACAAGTAGCAGAAGCAAGAAAAGCGCAATAGTCAAAGTCTGCAGCCAGCCACAGCAACAGCATAAGAAACAGTAAGGGATGAGAAACAAAGAGGGAGAGAGCAACCTACCAGTAGGGCAAACTGGAAACAAAGAGGGAGAGAGCAACCTACCAGTAGGGCAAACTGGAAACGAAAGCGCGGGAGGCAGATAAGATTATCCTTCACAGAAACCTGTTTTGCATCGACAATCTGAGGTTTATCGTTAGTGGAAGTAGGAGTCCGAGGGAACTTAATGCGGCGACGACGTATTCCCGGGGGACAAGTGGACGTGGGGTTTGAGTTAGAGTATAATCGGCGGGCGTGTTGTGACGATGAGAAAGACGGCGAGGGGAAGAACCAATCTCTACCGGAGGTGCTAGAAGCTGATATTTCTGAATTCAGGGACATATTCTTAGGCACGCACTCCCAAAATAATATACATGTTTCTTTTTATGAGAAATGTTAACATAATATGGACCAGAGTCACCTGGATTCTATCTTTTATTTTAGCACAATTACAAATTTATTTTAGACAATTTAATGTCTTACTCCATGGGTTACAAATTTTTTCTATGAAAAATCAAAAATGTACTTTAGACTCTTCACATTTTTGGAGATAGATCTTTGGACGTATTATATATTATTTTTACGACGCATTAAATGAGTGTCATTTTAGATTTTAAAAAAATATATTTTATAGATATTTGAGTAGTCCATTACATATTTCGAAGATGTATCTAGGAAAGTTTGGGATGGAATTTTGAAATTTTTGTTACCTTTGAATTTCGTGATCACGTGCTTGAATGAATTCATACGGAGGTCTCCAAACTGAAATTTAGTGTGGTAATTTGAAAGTCTGACATTAGTTCAGATAGAAAATGTGCATTTGTGACAATGACAGGTAAAAGAAGTGAGAAATATGTACCTCATCTCCGGAATTTTAAACGCGATGACACTGACTTAAGAAAATATCAGTGTCCATTTAAGTTGTGTGGTTATATGTTAGCAAATAAGAAATGGAGAATTAATGTCATGTGGTTTACAGAACCATGACTTTTGTGGAAAGTTAATTGGTCATTGTCGCATCTCGAAAAATACGAATCACGTGAGCATTCGCGCGTTTGTGAAAATGATTGAACAGATTTGTCACCGGATTTTATTTATTCCAAAGAAGGAAAGGGAAAATATCGATAAAATCCTTAAAAGTAAAAGAAGATGGTCGTTGCAACCAAATTCGGGTTCGGGAATCGATTACGCAAGGGAGAGGTATTAGAACGCCTCACATCTGTTATACTCAACGGGAACCATTTAGTTAAATTTTTTATTGAATGTTAGCTTATGTTGATTGTTTTCTTCAAGTGATCAAAAGTGCAAAAGGAAAAGAAAAGGGGTCGCAACGTTTTCTTATTTGGGTGCTTGACGAGATTGCGGGTTTCGTTTCTACGTATCCTCAGGTAAAGTAAGGAATTCAAAACTACGTAGTTCTTCATAGCAAATGAATGTTTGTTGGTTGATTTTAGTGAACGAATGTTTAGGTTGCATTTCAACAGTTAAACAGTGGCTTGTATGCTCGCGCATAGCAGGCTTAAGCATTTACTTATATCACGGTAGAAAGGACCGTGCTTGATCGTGTTCTAGTGATTACGATTGCTTGCATGCTCGCGCATGGGATGCATAAGAGTTTGTTTGTATCACAGTAGAATTGATAAATCATTGTTTGTTTGTGAAAAGGTTTTCGATCACGTGGGGGCGAGAAAAGATAAGTTTGATTGGTTGAATATTTTTTAGTGGATGATGATTGCTCGAATGGTCGAGTTAGGCAACTCGTAACAATCGGGAAAAGAACAGTAGGCACTAGACCATTTCTTTTTTCATCCTTTAAATTGCAGAAGGATTAGATATCATTAATGTGTTTTGAATAGACAACGAATACTCGAATGGTCGAGTTAGGAAATCCGTATCCAAGTATTCGGGGAAAAGAATAGTAGGCACCAGACCATTTCCTTTTTTCGTCATTTTAATTGTGAAATTATTAGATATTGTTATCGTGTTTTGAATAGACGGCAAATACTTAAATGGTCGAGTTAGACAGCTTGTATTCAAGTATCCAGGGAAAAGAATAGTAGGCACTAGGCCATTTTCTTTTTTGTTCGAGTTATTATGAAATTAAGATCGCTTAATTTTTTATTATGAAAGTGGTTTGAGATGAATTGGATCAATAATTTTTAATGGATGACGATTGTTTGAATGGTCGAGTTATGCAACTCATATCCAAACAATTTGGGAAGAGAATAGTAGGCAATAAACCATTTTCTTTTTCACCCTTTATGAAAAGATGTTTAAAAGCGATTAGATGTTTTGAATGGACGACGAATACTTGATTGATCGAGTTAGGCAACTCGTATTCAAGTACTCGGGGGGGGAATGAATAGTAGGCACATGACCATTTCCTTTTTTGCCCAATTTATTCTGAAAAGATTTAATCGAGTTGTAAGAATAATTGAGAAAGAGATGGGACGTGAATTGTAGCACGAGAGCATGAATTAATGCCACAAGGTATACGAAACGTGATATAAAGAGGCGAGATCATAATGAAACAAAATCTAAAGTACGTAATGGCATAACATAACGAAAAAATGTAAGACAAGTAACGCGGAAAAGATTAAAGTGGCGTGAATTGTGCGAATTGAGTCAATATGTGTGAATAGGCGTGATGTAGTGCAATGATATGTGGGAGACACAATGAATCAATATAAGCAATGTGACGATAATGAATTGCAAATATCGCACGTAATACAATAAAGTTCCAACAAAATGCTAACACGAAGCGCATCATCACAAATAAATCGGAATGTAAACGAAACATAACATAAAGAAGCGAAATCTTAACGAGATGAAGCGTAACATGCACAATGACATGACGTAACGCAATTGAATCGTGCAAGACGCAATGGAACGATATAATGCAACGTAACGATAATGAATTATAAATGTAACACGTAAATGCAACAAAATGAATCGTAACACGTTAAAATATTACATCAATATATCAAAATGAAAATCCAGCGACATAAACGCATATAAATTACATCAAAATCGCAAATTTCATTTGATTTAATGCAACACCGAGTAAAATAGAACAACAACAACAACACAACAAATTATTTACATTGGTTGCAGATTACATCGAAACCGAATAGCAACAGTTCTCAAATAAAAAACCCATCACATATGTAATACAAATCAAACAAAAAATTAAATACGCAAAATCAGTGGGTACACGTTTACAACACCGAAAAAGGATTTGTACATTGCCGAAACCAGCAGTGTTGTTGTTTGTTGTTGAAAATCGAATAGTTTTCGTTACAATGGTAATACCAGTAACGCGGAGTCGAATCCGTGACGAAATTAGTGGAGGGTGTAATTTACTGCAAACGAAACAGAGGTGGTGGTCGTAAGTGTTTGATCAGAGGGAGTTACCGTGTAACATCATATATCCTCGACTTTACATTTAATACAATATTCCAAATAGAAATATGCAATTAGAGTGTCACACATGCTTCATATAGCATAAAAATACACAAAATAGTCGTGTGAAAGTAAGTAGCGAAAATAAACAAGTTCGGCATAAAAGTCTCAACAACAAAAACTCCAACATAAATAAAGCATAACATAAATAACGAATGACATCCTATCCCTAGTACTACATATCAGAGTGACTCATCTAAGACCCAATGATAAAAGCTAAAGAGGCGTCAGCATCATCCTCTACAGCACATACGCGACAACAATAAACAGGAGGTGAGAATACATCTAACAAATGTTAGCGGCGAAATTAAGCAAAACAAGATAGTAATAACGAAATATACAATATCTTAATCACACTCAAAACACAGTCAAATAAATAAAAATGCAATGCTAATGCCACAAACTCCTTCTCAAATGCATGTGGTACCAAAATTACTAGGAGCAGAGGTATGTTACTAATTTTCCCATGTCTCTGGTTCCTTTCTGAACTGTGTCCCTCTCTGGACGTGAGACCTTTATAGTTCCTCTCTGAATCGGATCATCATTGGACTGAAATCCTACTTATCTCCTAAATAAATGAATGCATGGCTACGAACAATAAAAACATGCAACAGTATCAACATCACATAAACACAAAAACACAAATCTCAAAACATCCACATAAAGGTTCTACTCTTGAACTTATAATCCGTCAATCACAGGTCATCATTGTAATCTCTTTGGATTATTATACACAAATCACCACTCAAGACCATCACTCTAATCTCTCTCTAGATTACTATACTCAAATTGCCAATAAAGGTCTCACTGTAATCCCTCTCTGGATTACTATGCTCAAAAATGTGTTTTTAAAACAATTTCAATTGTTTCTTCTCAAAAAGGTAAAGTTATGTTATTGCCCAAAGATCTTAATTTCTCAAATTACTTAGGGAGCTCAAAATGTTTAAAAATTTTATAATTCTCAAAAACTCATAATTCTCAAAATGTCATAAAAACTCATCAATAGGGTAATTCACTATTATTATTACTTGTGTCAGACCATCAATGGGGCAATAACCCTTAACACTAAGGCGTATCAACACAACTCTAAAACAAATAGTAACTCTGACAACTCTAAGGTAACAAATCCCTCTCTTAAACTTATCAACATAACTCTAAAACTTAACAGAGTTTCTCAAAGGCAACCCTAAAATATATCAAACTACCAATTACACTCTTACAACTTTAAATAGTTCAAGACTACTCAATAGCAACTCTAAATTCATCAAACAACCCCAAAATCATGCTCCCTACTAGTCATACATCATATTCGAATAATCATGTAAAATATCAAATGAAGTCAAAATCAAGAAAATGAATATCTTTCAAAAATCTTAGGGAGTCTATTTTAAGAATATGATTTTTATTGGAAGAGTTAATCCACCAATCGGTTCAGCTTAATCAAACAACAAGAACAAATACTCGCATCGGGCATAATGTTTCGCCTGACTTCATAATGGCACCAAAACTTATATACTTATGAAAAATTATGAAACATTCCAAATGAAAAGATCATTAAATCCTCTTTCTAACATAACTAACAGTATCCTAAAAGGACTTACAATACTCAAGTTATGCATGAACCGTGATGATCAACGCAAGACAGAAATTGACCATGTCTCTGGTATAAAAACCAACATATTGCTACTGTTGTAGCCCCCTAGACCCAATTTCTTTACTTTAAAAGAAAAATTATCACGTTAATTTTTCAACACTTCGAACTGCGGATCAATCCGAGTCTCGAAACTCAAGATATTCCTAAAATAAGGCGGTCAATCCCCTTCTAAGTCTACTTGTGATTTTTCCTGTGTTTTTCTTCCTGTTGAACATATTTTTTTTAT